TGTCTCTCTTCATGTCTTGGACTGACGCGAATTTGCCGAAGGCATGAGGGAAATCAATCTTTGCTGCGATCCACAAGTAATGCTCCCGCGTTTGCGCTATTTACTACGGAGTTTCGTCGATGTCTCTTGCGCTCAAACATTTTGTGCACGTCTTCATAGAATTTCGGCGACTAGAGAAATGTTTCCAGAGAGGAACGGGGTGATTTTCTTCCACACAGAGACTGCATCGACTATCTCTTCACGTTGCATCAACTTCGCGTACTCCGCTACCTCCACCGACGACCGACAATCATAGTGTTCTTGGACATTTAGACGGAATTTGATTTATTTGATGCGTTTGCTTTGTTGAACTGTTTACTAAGGAAATATGTGCCCGACAAGTTTGTAACCATCCTAAATGAACTTTACAGCCACAGAATGGACAAAGTTAGGGTTGTCAATAGCGGCGTCCACCTTTCCCCTTCAACTTCGTCATTGAAAGTGTTGTCCAACGTGCAGCAGAAGCTGTCCAGCATTGCGGCGTCGAGTTTTTCCATGGTGACGGTGTCGTTGACTTGGTTTACGCCGATGACATTACTTTGCTAGTGATTGACCCAAATCAAGTCACAACACATTTAACTGCCTAACGATGGAAGCATCCAAGTACGGCCTGTATTTCGGCACGACCATATGCAAAACACTACTCATGGATTGATAGACGCTTGTGGTTGCGCTCACGATTACTGGAACAAGCTGACTGCTTCACATAATCTAGGAAGTTGCACCAGATGCTAAAAGGGTTGTTTTACCTTCCCTATCAACAGGTTGAGGACCCTAAGATTATACAGTTTTCAGTTTCGGCGCCTACGCGGAGACCTAATAATGGCCTACCAGGGGTCCGCTGGGAGGCGCACCACTAACGAGACCCATAAGATCGAAACGCTGGCGTCTGGTGCTTTTTCAGACTAGCCTAAGCCTGCTGATTGGGAGTGCCGATGATAAATTAGCTGAATTATGCCAACATCCTCACTACTCACCAGTATTATAACAGCTGTGCGTATAGCTAATAAGTCCTATGCGGTGCATAGGCGCTATGCGGAATGTCCTAGCTCCTGAGGCTAACCATTGTCCTCTGAACAGTTCGTAACTGGCATGGCACTGGAAGATGAGCCGGGCTATATCATAGTCAACTATGAATCACGCAGCTCCGCGGCTATCACCCATGGTGTAGTGGCACTAGCTGCTGACATCCTGAAGTCATGGGGGCGGAACCCGGCAGGGGTCCGCTAGGAGGCGCACCGCTGGCAAGACCCATAAGGTCGAAACGCCAGCGTCCGGTACTTTTCTAGACTAGCCCAAGCCTGCTGATTGGGAGTGGCAATGATGAATTATCTTAGTTACTACCAAATTCTGACTGACCCAACCACATCTGCCGTCCTCTACTGCAACGCAGTCACAACACTAATTTGAGGGTCCACCGGTTCAAGTTGGCCATGCAATATATCTTGCTGGAATGTCCGCGAAAAGTTTACTCTATTCGTGTCTGCTAGACATGTGGAACGCTACCACAAATTATTTTGTTTCCGCTCCCACTCTATATGCGCTTAAGAAACGCATTGAAATTGCTCTAACCCACCAACATCATGAGTTATTGACTGTGTTTGTCGACGGAGAATATAATGTGATAAACATTGTACAACCAACATTGACTTGTACAATCGGAGTCGGATCTATTTTATGCGTGCTTCAGTGTGAACATTATGGTGAGTTTATCAAACCGGTTTTCACCGGTTTTTTCACCATTTTGTGGTTCCTATTCTAGTCACTCTTCAGGACTTGTCAATCATTTGCTTTTTTCCCCGTAATACACCATTGTTGCATCAAAACGTATAGCATAGGATCGTCTTGATTTCAACAATATCAGTCTCAAGCTCAAGCGCAGGATTTTAGTACCTCTGTCCACACCGCCCTGTTGTACGTCTGTGAGACAGCTTGTTTACTCGGAAGACATGAAACGACTATCGGTTTTTGATAACCGTTTACGAAAGATTGCTCATGTCTGGTAGCAAACTCACGTAACCAATACAGTAGTTTGTGACCTAGTGCTTGGAGCAAATAAGTCGTCTCTGAACTACTATCTTTCGACACCGCATGAGTTGTTTCGGCGACTTTTGAGTATACCAACCCATCTTCTTCTCCACCGAGTGTGATTGACGCTTCCCGGAAACGCTTGGGAAGTGTACCGTGGTGGACAACCAATGGCATAGAAAAAGGCTATCTTAGCATCAGTCGGACCGGTTCGCGTTTCATTCTGGGGACCACGCCAGCTTACAACTACTGGATAACTGTCTTCAATGGACTAACTCATGCAGTAAGCCAAATGGATTGGTCATTGCAGCATGCTGCATTAGGGAAGGATCGGTGGACTGTTATAAGAGAGAGAGAGTGTGTGGCATTACTGTTTTCGATCTGTACCACTAAAGTTTCGGAAGGCCGGACCAGTCAATCCACATTGGTTCGACATGGAGCATAGGAACATGGCTGGACTGCGACGCAGACTGTGGGGCAATTTCATTCTCAAGCTATTCTAAGAAGTAGTAAGCGTATAGGTGACAGTGGAATGCTCGCATAAGTGTAGTAACAATCAAACGCGGGCATTTCGCAGAGCAGGTCGCAACCGGCGCGAAGGTCATCTCGAATAGAATCTTTGCTTACGTATAGCGGGCAGATGATCGATCAGACCTGGAGGACTCCGTCGCACAGTTAATAACCTCCAGCACTGAGTGTGCATCCGCATTGGTGGCACAGTTCGCTTTCGTATTCCCAAACCACCAGGTGCTTGTACCGAGTTTGACGTGTACCGCGCTTACCGAACTCGACAGCCTTGCTTGCGGTGTTCAAGAGGTGCGTCAACTAATTGTGAACCCTGACAGCACCAAGCATGTTCGGCATGACGGACTCCACCCACTTATTCTCAAGTCCATATCGGCCATCATCTCGCCTGCCGTGACTGATCCTTTCAACAGGTCACTGTCTGAAAGTTCATTCCCGAGCAGCTAGAAATGCCCACCTTGCGAAACCGATTCCTGAAGGCGGTGACTTTAGTGAAGTAAACACTTACATGCCAATTTGTTTGACACGTGTTTCTACCACAGTAGTCGAGCAAATCGTGAAGTATCGTTTCCTACAGCTGTTTTAGTCAAAACTTCCGGTGCCCTCAGGACTTGGTTCAATACTAGGTGGTCACTCATGCATCACTAACGTGCTCTTGATGATGCATGAATAGTTGCATGCAGCAAACTAAACGAAGCCTGTCCACATCATCTGCATCGGCTTTAGTAAGACGTTCGAGAAGGTGAACAATGATGTCTACCACTACAAGCTGAGATTGTGCGCTGTTGGTGCTTACTGCGCCAATGCAGCAGACAGTGAGTGGCTGAAGGAAATTAGAAGGTACAAGCACATGGCCATCTACTTGACTGGTATTCCTTTACCAATGTCGGAGCCCCAAGGCATGGTGCTGAGGCGCTTTCTGTCCTGTGGTCATACGTAACGAATTTCTTTTGCCTGTCGATTTAATGGGTCAGGTTTCACCACCGTACAGCATGGTTAACGTACGGCTGCAATGTAAACCTTTAGAGAGAGAGTTATATCACGCCGGCGCCATAGGTAATGAAGGTTAGCAAAAGCGACTCGAGCTTTTGCCATACGGTTTGTGATTTATCTTCGATAACAATACAATTTCTTAGGTAGATGACATTTTGAACAACTTCTACCTGATCTCCCCATGGATCAGCGCAGGAGGCGGTCCTTGCGAATCTTCGAGGAAAGCTTTATACTTCGAGGGTGAAATGCAAATCCTGAGACGACTGACAGACAGTGCTACTTTTTCCAGTGTACCTTTGCGTATTTGGAAGTTGTCACCAGTGAGGATCGTCGTGGGCGTCCTCCAAAACGCACCCGAAGATCAGCACATACAAGTGCAAGGTCAGTGTCTACACATGGGCTCCAAATCGAGCGACAGTTTTGCACCCAGCATGTCTACCAGTAACTGATCTCAATCAATCTATTGACATCCAAGGCTGGTGGGCACCATGTCACCATAGAGATACTAGAGAAAAAGATATGCTTTATCTGCTGTTGTGAGCTTGGGAGACTTCTTCCCCTTAGACCTGGGTTGGGCCCTAAGTGTTAAGGCGTACAACGTTGAAGATTCGGCCTTGGCACGTGTCGGAATACATAAAGCAGCTGCCCAATGCTAATTGATTAATACTACTTTCTTTTTGTTTTTGTTGATCAAGCGAATCCACTGTGTTTATGGCCAATCGAGTACTGTTTCCCCTAGGCTCGCTAACTTATTCTCTGGCCTGTCGAACAGTTATCGCATGTCTGCTTGTCCGGAAGTGTTTTAGTGAACCTGACGGTGAAATAAGCAACACCTGGTCTAAAATTTTCGCATAGTATTATCACGCAGGTATAACCGTCTCTTGTGTTCGTATCCCGTCTAGATTTGCGTGGTTGCAAAGCAGTTGCAAGTTTTTTTTATCTTATGACGACGTGGACACTTTCGAAGCCGATCAGCAACATTAAAAGCAAAGTGAAGGCTTATGAATGACTGTTATGGTTGATTATGATGTGATGCAGTAAAAGCCACCAAGAACTTATCTTACCAATGCCACCTCGTTGTTGTACCGGAGCCGGATGCTTGTGTCCGTGCGTTCTTCATAGGGTGTAGACGTCCCAGTTTTGGACGTTTGCCTAGAACATGGAATTCCTTCACCACGTTCACCCCCTTGTCTCTTCCCATGCGTAGAATTAACACAATTGTATGGTAGCGAAGGATCGCAACGAAGTGTTAATGACTTTGGTAATGATGGGGCTCAGAATATAATTCTATTCTCATGACTGAACAAGCTTAACTTTTAGTTGTTGCTCTTGTACTGGATGTTTTGATGTTGTTTCATGCAGTATGATAGCATACAGAGGAGAAAAATTACCTTTTACCCTGTCTCCTTAAACAGATCCCGCTCTGCAACTGCCTTTCAACTATTTGAGAACCCACGTAATGATGCAGTTGCCATTTGAATCTAGTTGTTCGCCTACTTTTCAATCATCGGGTGGAGTCGAGAACCCACAGGAACCATTGCTTGGCCCACAAGCGTCTGTACAACCTTCCTTTTCACCTTTGATCCAGGAGATTCACTCTACGGAGCAATAGTGCTATACCCGTTTGGATAATTGAACTAGTATTATGATCTAGTTGTTTTTTGTTCCACTGGCCATCCCCTTACCCGAGCAAACTGTCACTTCTCTCATAACTTCGTCCTGCCATTGCACTGTACCCTAACTTCCATCCGTGGCGTCGTTCCTTGGATTGTTGTCCTCATTCGGTTACGTTTTCGTTGCTTTCCTCCGTTATTCCGCATTGTTGTCAAGCCATAACATAATTCCAGTACTCTGTCGAAATGACCGCCTTTTTGTCGGACTGATTCTCATAATCATCAAAAGTCAAGATTTCATCATGGTTATATTGCGTGAATTTCCCCTCTACCTCCCATTAGACTTTATCTGGACTCTCACTAGATAGATCATCAGGCGAAGTCCCACATGAACACAAGTTCATAATAGCGTTTATGTCCAGATAACTGCCAACCCATTCGAATGAAACAAACATGGACCTGGTGAAGACTTCGTCCGATTTGGCCACAGTTACGTCTTGATCTATAGCCCTGTGAGTTGATACGACTCGCGTTGGTTGAATAGACAGTTTGGGATTGTTTCAGCCTGGTTCGAACGAGACGTAGCATTCCAACGAACAATGCACTTTTAATCTACCCCAACTGCGGAAAACATAAACTTGACTCAGTCTATGAAATGGGTCATGATAGATCTGCATACCATCAATAAATCACTCCAACTCCTTGACCGGTATAGATACCTTATCAGGCCACGAATGATAGATTTAGACAGTGTTCGGTCAACCACGCATTGCTATCTAATCAACTTCTGTAGGTGTGGGGGCAACTAGTTCCGGAGGCGGCATCCGGTTTCGGATTTGCCTGTCACTGCGGCTAGCCACAGGACGCCTGCGCCTACAGATGGGCCTTTCGCCTTTTCCAGGCTAAGGTATTTATGACGCTGCCATGAGATCTGCTTCTCCATCAAAGGGTAGGTTTATAGTGCGATCGTCCGCGCTGTACTGTTGTACGGTTGTGAGACTTGGTCTACTCGTACCGATGAGCAGCGACGACTATGTCTTTGAGAACCGGTGCTTGCGGTCCATCGCCTGTGTATGGTGACTGCACCACGTAACCAACGTTGAAGTCAGCCTTCTTATCTGAACCATTCACTAGTCTTCTGGAAAATGTTTCCTGAATTCACCGCTTCAAACGGAATACATTTAACCTGCGCTTCTCTCCGTTTATCCACTACTTTTCAGTTGAAATGTTGGTGAATGTATCCCTCTGGTCCTAATTTTTCTATAAAAGCGATTTTACAAGGGAGTATTAGGGGATTTGAAGGGGTGTGTAGACGTTTATCACATCTAGCCTGTTAAACAGTCTTCACACCCCAGAAAGACATTGTACGACTGTTTCAGCCTTTCGGAAATCATATATATATATACATATATATATATATATATATATATATATATATATATATATATATATATATATATATATATATATATATATATATATATATATATATATGGCGGGAGAGCCTATGGTGCGCTGAGGCTGGTGGTGGCTAGATCCTGACAGATGGCCTACCCACTGCTGCTACTGCTGCGCCATAGTCTCATGTCCTGGGCGCCTCCACGTGGCGACCGCTGGGTGGGAGTTGGGTTTCACCCTTCTCCCTGCTAAGATCCAGGACACTAATCCGCATGAGTCGGCTAACTGACCATGTGCTAGACTCGCTACCTTTCGGGTGTTCATTTAATCAAAGGCTTTGGCCGAGGACCCGAGTCGTTCTCCTGTCAGGATTGGGCGCCCTGGCACTACCCTAGTCCATCCTCTCCGGAGGTTAGGAAGTGGTCGATGGCCCACTACCCGTAAAACCTAGCCATGGGAGACAACAGGTTTACGGGTTATATTCTCAAAGCTCGATTGGCGTAGAGCACGAGGGCCACGCATTGTCTCTGACGGTGGGAGGACACCTCCGGGTGTTCAATGGTTTGCTACTGCCCGCCTCAAGCCAGGCAGCCCCTGGTCAAATTGGGGCAAACCCGCCAAAAACCCACCTGCGTCTGGCCGTGGTCGCAGGTGCGTATCCAATTACGGTCGCAAAACATATGATAATTGTTCCAGAACCTCAAAGGCTGCGTGTGACGGCCGTCAAGCAGATCCCCATCTGTCTCTGTAATCACATTCCCGAGCTGGATCTGCTCTCCACTGCCTTGTGGGTCAGGCTATTGAGCCAAAGGCTCCGGGCGGAGTCCCTCAAGCAAACCTCCGAATCACCCACTGCCTTGTGGGTCAGGCTATTGAACCAAAGGCTCCGGGTGGAGCCCCTCAAGCAAACCTCCAAACCACCCACTGCCTTGTGGGTCAGGCTATTGAGCCAAAGGCTCCGGGTGGAGTCTCTCAAGCAAACCTCCGAAGCACGACCACCTCGCGTGCGATTGCCCACCAATGCAATCGTATGCCTGCGCGCAAAGCACTCAGCATCGGGTGCTGGAACGTGCGCACACTACTGGACCGGAACTCCAGCGAGCGCCCGGAGCGACGCACTGCACTGGTCGCGATGGAGCTGGCGCGCTACCACATCGATATTGCGGCGCTCAGTGAAACTCGGCTCGCTGAGCAAGGTAAGTTGCATGAAGCAGGTGCTGGCTACACATTCTACTGGGTGGGGAACGCCGCCTCAGCCCCACGTGAACATGGGGTCGGATTTGCAATATCCGATCGCCTGAATGGCCAGCTGGTGGGTGAACCAACGGGCATCAGCGCGCGACTGATGACTGTTCGCCTACGACTCGGAAGAGGTAAGTTTGCTACTTTTATAAGCACGTACGGTCCGACCACGTGTTATCCTGATGACACGCGTGATCAGTTCTACACTGAGCTATCCTCCGTGATACGGTCTGTGCCGAGGAGCGACCGACTATTTCTGCTGGGTGATTTCAACGCGCGCGTTGGGCGTGATGCATCAGCGTGGACAGATGTTATCGGTGCGCATGGCATTGGTTCAGCGAATGCGAACGGTGACAGGCTGCTCTCACTGTGTGCCACTCACGGCCTGACGATCACGAACACTCGGTTTGCACTGAGTGCGAGTGATATAGCAACTTGGACGCACCCACGGAGTGGTCACGCCCACCTGCTCGATTATGTCATCGTACGTCAGCGTGATATGCGTGAAGTGCGCATGACACGTGTACTGCGTGGAGCTGAGTGTGGCACTGATCACAAATTGGTTCGGACCAAACTGTACATATATTTTCGTAAATCTATGTATTGCACTCCCGCCGTGAATCGGCGTAAATTTAACATTCTCTCCCTCGGTACTGTGGCGAAACGTACTGAGCTGGAGAAGGCGATGGCTGCACGCCTGTGTGATGTGGAATGCATAGCCACAGTGGGCGACCTGTGGCACCACATTCGCGATCAGGTGACAGCTGCTGCCGAGGAGACCATTGGGCGCGCAAACTGTAAACGGCCTGATTGGTTTGATGACAACAATGCGACGATTGGCGCATTGGTGTCGGAGAAGAATGCAGCATTTGCTGCACATGCTGCAGACCCCAGTGACTTGGGGAAGAAGAGTCAGTTTCGCAAACTTCGACGGCGACTGACCCGAGAGCTCCGTCGCATTAAAAATGCATGGTGGACGGAGAAGGCGAAGCATATGGAATGCTACGCCGAACGCCGCCAACACAAGGAATTCTTTGACTCCTTGAAGGCGGTGTATGGACCGAGATTGGAGCAGCTGAGGACACTGATCGATGGTAGTTCAGGCGCTACCTGCACCCAGACTGCAGACATAATGCAGGTCTGGCGGAAACACTTTGAATGTCTCTTGAACAACCGTTCAGAGATCGACTGGCCTACATTGAACGGCCTGAAGCAGCACGATGTGAAGGCGGATCTGGCGGATACGCCGACACGGGATGAGACGCAGAGAGCACTTGCTCAGCTGCGAAACGGCAAGTGTGCAGGGGCGGACGGGATCCCGCCTGAAGTATTGAAACACGGCAGAGCCGCGTTGTTGACTGCGCTGCACCACTTGGTGCAACGCGTGTGGATTGAGGAGGAGGTGCCTGCTGAGCTGAAGGATGCCCTTGTGCTACCACTGTACAAGGGCAAAGGGAGCAAGCAATGTTGCACGAATTATCGTGGCATCAACTTGCTGAGTTGTGTGGGCAAGGTGATTGCCCGAATCCTGCTCAATCGCCTCGTGAGTCAGATTGTGGAACCAAACGTGGCGGAAGAGCAATGTGGATTCCGTTCGGGTCGCAGCACTATAGATATGGTGTTTGCGGCTCGTCAGTTGCAAGAGAAGTGCAGAGAACGACACCAGCCATTGTACTCGCTTTTTGTTGATTTCACCAAGGCATTTGATACGGTGAACCGCGAGGCATTGTGGCTGGTGTTGGGTAAGTTTGGTTGCACGCGTAAGTTTGTAAGTTTAATTGAATGTCTTCACAGTGGTATGCGAGCGAGGGTGCAGCTGAGTGGAGAGACCTCGGATGACTTTTCAGTTGTCTCGGAGGTGAAGCAAGGCTGTGTCTTAGCTCCTGTCCTGTTTAATATATATCTTCATGCAATGTTATCTTGTGCTTTTGATGCTGCTTGTGCTTACGGTGTTCGTGTGGAGCACCGTATTGATAGTGGGTTGCTGAACATCCGTCGTTTCGGTGCGAGAACTCTAGTCTGTGAGACAACTATCCTTATGTTGCTGTTTGCTGACGACTGTGCGTTGTTTTCACACAGCGCGGATGAGTTGCAGCACATGACTAGTGCTCTGGCTTCGACAGCGGCCAAATTCGGGCTCACCATCAACACAAGCAAAACTGTCTGTCTCTTTCAGCCTTCACCGGAGGTGCAATTTTCAATATTGCCGCAAATCAGCATTGGTGCTGAAGTATTGGAAACCACCTCCCGCTTCTGCTACCTTGGGAGTGTGATATCGACTGATCAGCAACTACACGTTGAGTTGCGTATTCGCGTGTCGAAGGCAGCGGCGGCATTCGGGAAGCTTGAGTACCGAGTGTGGAACAACCATCAGCTTAGCATTGGCACGAAGCTGATGGTGTACAAATCCATGGTACTGTCCGTTCTTCTATACGGCAGTGAAACGTGGACGATGTACCGTCGGGATGTGCGATATCTCGAGCGGTTCCATCAGCACTGTCTGCGACGAATTTTGCGGATCGGTTGGGGCGCCAGAGTCGCAGACACGGAAGTGTTGCGCCGAAGTGGGATGTATGCAGTGGACTGCATACTTTTACTGCGACACC